TCGGAAATAATAACTATATATATTTTAAATTTTGTTAGGTGGCATACGGTGCAATATTGGTTTCTGGAGTAGAGTTCAGTGATTCATCAGTTATATACAACACCCATTGCTCATAACAACAGGTGTCCTCTTTGATACCCATCATCTGTCTGGCCCGTCCCCCATCCACCTCCTTCCATCAACCTTCAATTTCAGTTCTCTATTGTTAAGAGTCACTTGCGGCTTCTTCTTCTTCTTTTAAAAATTAGTTTCAGTGATAGAATTTAATGATTCATGAGTTGCATATAACACCCAGTGCTCATTACATCAAGTGCCCTCCTTAATGCCCATCACACAATTATACCTTCCAGGACCCACCTCTGCTCCAGCAACCTTCAGTTTGTTTCCTAAAGTTCGGTGCCCCTTATGGTTTGCCTCCCTCTCAATTTTCATCTTGTTTTATTTTTCCTTCCCTTCCTCTATGTTCATCTATTTTGTTAAGTTCCACATATAAGTGAAATCATACAATATTTGCCTTTCTGTGACTTATTTCACTTATCATAATACCCTTTAGTTCCATCCATGTTGTTGCAAATGACAAGATTTCAGTCTTTTTAATGTCTGAGTAATATTCCAGTGTGTGTTTGTGTGCGTGTGTATGCACATACAAATATATAATCACACACACACCGCATCTTCTTTATTCATTCATCTGATCATAGACATCTGGGCTCTTTCCATAGTGTAGCTGTTGTGGACATTGCTGCTATAAACACTGCAGTGCAGGTGCCCCTTTGAATCACCATGTTTATATCCTTTAAATAAATACCTGGTAGTGCAGTTTTTGGGTCGTAGGGTAGCTCTATTTTCAGCTTTTTGAGGAACCCCCATACTGTTTTCCAGAGTGGCTGCACCAGTTTGCATTCCTACCAGCCGTGTAAGAGGGTTCCCCTTCTGCATTCTTGCCAACATCTGTTGTTTCCTGACTTGTTAAGTTTAGCCATTCTGACTGGTGTGGGGTGGTATCTCATTGTGGTTTTGATTTGTCTTTCCCTGATGCTGAGTATTTTTTCAAGTGTCTGTTGGCCATTTGTATGTTATCTTTGGAGAAATGCCTGTTCATGTCTTCTGCCCATTTCTTGAGTGGATTATTTCTTGAGTGTTCTTTGGGTGTTGAGTTTGATAAGACATTTGCAAATATCTTCTTCCATTCTGTCAGTAATCTTTTGTTTTGTTGACTGTTTTCTTTGCTGTGCAAAAGCTTTTTATCTTTTTTTTAATTTAATTTAAATACTTTTTTAAATTAATCATTTTTTTAAATTTATTTTCAGCATAACAGTATTCATTGTTTTTGTACCACACCCGGTGCTCCATGCAATCCGTGCCCTCTCTAATACCCACCACCTGGTTCCCCCAACCTCCCACCCCCACCCCCACCTCTTCAAACCCTTCAGATTGTTTTTCAGAGTCCATAGTCTCTCATGGTTCACCTCCCCTTGCAATTTCCCCCAACTCCCTTCTCCTTACTCCCCATGTCCTCCATGCTATTTGTTATGCTCCACAAATAAGTGAAACCATATGATAATTGACTCTCTCTGCTTGACTTATTTCACTCAGCATAATCTCTTCCAGTCCCGTCCATGTTGCTACAAAAGTTGGGTATTCATCCTTTCTGATGGAGGCATAATACTCCATAGTGTATATGGACCACATCTTCCTTATCCATTCGTCCGTTGAAGGGCATCTTGGTTCTTTCCATAGTTTGGCAACCGTGGCCATTGCTGCTATAAACATTGGGGTACAGATGGCCCTTCTTTTCACTACATCTGTATCTTTGGGATCTTGATGAAATCCCAGTAGTTCATTTTTGCCTTTGTTTCCCTTGGAGACGTGTCTAGTAAGAAGTTCCTGCAGTTGAGGTCAAAGAGGTTTCTGCCTGTGTTCTCCTCTAGGATTCTGATGGATTTCTGTCTCACATTGAGGTCCTTAATCCATTTTGAGTTTATTTTTGTGTATGGTGTAAGAAATTGGTTCAGTTTCATTCTTCTGCATGTGGCTGTCCAATTTTCCCAACACCATTTGTTGGAGACTGTATTTTTTTCCATTGGAAATTCTTTCCCTCTCTGTTGAAGATTAGTTGATCGTAGAGTTGAGGGTCCATTTCTGGGTTTTCTATTCTAGTCCATTGATCTATGTGTCTGTTTTTGTGGCAGTACCATACTATCTTGGTATTCCCAGCTTTGTAATATAGCTTGAAGTTCTGAATTGTGATGCTTCCAGCTTTGGTTTTCTTTTTCAATATTTTTTTACTTTGGCCATTTGGGGTCTTTTCTGGTTCCATACAAGTTTTAGGATTGTTTGTTCCAGCTGTATTAAAAATGCTGATGGTATTTTGATAGGGATTGCATTCAATGTGTAGGTTACTTTGGGTAGCATAGATATTTTAACCATATATGTTCTTCCAGTACATGAGCATGGAATGTTTTTTCATTTCTTTGTGTCGTTTCTTTCTTAAGTGTTCTGTAGTTTTTTGTTTTGTTTTGTTTAAGATTTTATTTGTCAAAGAAGAGCACAACAGGGGGAGGAGTAGGCAGAGAGAGAAGCAGGCTCCCTGCTTAGTAAGGAGCCTGATGCAGGACTCGATCCCAGGACCCTGGGATCATGACCTCAGCTGAAGGCAGATGCTTTAGAGTTTTTAAGAGTATAGATTCTTTTACTTCTTTAGTCAGGTTTATTCCTTGGTATCTTATGGTTTTGGTGCAATTGTAGAATCCTTAATATCTCTTTCTTCTACTTCATTATTAGGGTATAGAAATGCAACTGACTCCTGTGTGTTGATTTTATATCCTGTGACTTTGCTGAATTCCTGTATCAGTTCTGGCAGTTTTGGGGGGAAGTCTTTTGGGTTTTCTACATGCAGTATCATGTCATCTGTGAAGAGTGAGAGTTTGACTTCTTCTTTACCAGTTTGTATGCCTCTGTTGTTGTTGTTGTCTGATTGTTGTGGGTAGGACTTGCAGTTCTATGTTGAATAAAATTGGTGAGAGTGGACATCACTGTCATGTTCCTGATGTGGGGGAAAGCTTTCAGTTTTTCCCTGTTGAGAATGGTAGTCACTGTGGTTTTTTTTTTTTTTTTTTTTTTGTATGTAAATTTTATGATGTTGAGGTATGTTCCTTCTATCCCTACACTGCAGAGAGTTTTTATCAGAAAATGCTGGTTCTTCTGCTTTCACTAATGGAGAATGCTGGAAAGTGTTTTAACTTAGAATAAACAATTTTAGGTCATATGGTATCAGTTTATAAGACAGACACATAGGAAGTAATTTCCTCAGTTTAAAAGGTGAACTTTATATTTAATATTTCTCCTCAAATACATTCTTTTGGACTTAAACAGTTGTGATCCAGGAAAAGCAAAGCTAAATAATTCTGGTTCATGTTTCCTGATGTGGGAGGGAACTACACTCTAGGCAGTGTAACTTTGGACTTGTGTGCAGGAGATGGGAGGCACAAAGCAGAGGAGATCGGTGCAGCAGGTGGTTGAGAGACCTGCACAGGGGACAGACAGGAGTCTGACAGCATAATCTCTAGCCCTCTCTCTGCTGTTAGAAGTTCCATTGATTCTTTTTCTGATACTGCAAAGACAGACTGTATTTCACTTAAAAAAACAAACAACCCCCCCCCCAAAACCCTAAACTTACAACAAAGGTCCTTGCTTATCTTTTTATTTAGTTTTATTTAATCTAACATTTAAAAACATAAATGCTTTCATGAATTGCTCTAGAATCTATTTATACTTAACAAATTCCCTTTATCTTTGTTTTAGATGTATGGTAATGTACTACCCAGATGCATTCAGAATAAAGGTTCAAAAAGTCCAGAGTATTCTAGATCAGTAATGAAAGTTTTCATCACACTATATGTAATAAGCCAGAAAAAATTGCCATATAAATTTATAGATTTAGGAAGATTATAACAGTGTTAAAGATTGTTAAGCCCCCATTGAGCAAAAAATGAAATTGGAATACTCCGTAAACTTCCACTTTTGATCAATGAGTGTTCTCTGATGCTTTTTCTGTTCCAAATATATTTTTTTCTTAAAATTCCGTAAAAGATTTTCTGAAACTTTTGATGTTGTCTTCTCATGAAATAATTTTCTTTTGCATTAAATCGAATATTGAGGTAAGGATGGAAAGAAAGCATATTTAGAGAATTTTCTGCTGATGAAACTATACTCAGGATGTTTGGCTTTCTGTTTTGGTGGATCAAGATGCCATCTTCTCACATAGTTGTTTTTATGGAGTTTGTACCTCTGTTATAGCATTTGTTTAATTCTGTATTTTAAATTAGGGTGCATGGGGAGGGCCTGGCTGGCTCAGTTGGTAGGGCATGGGACTCTTGATCTCAGGGTTGTGAGTTCAAGCCCCACATTGGGTGTGGAGATTACTGAAAAATAAAATCTTAAAAAAAAAAAATTAGTTAAAGTGCATAAGAGTGTTCACTATACACTGCATGGGGTTCTCTTATTTTAGGTCATTCTGCGAGTGTTGTATTTTTGTTTAAAGACACCCATATTCTTATAGCTTGGTGGAATGGACTTCAGACCAGTATTGAGACCTGCAGGTCCTACCTTAGAGAATGACTTTTTTTTCAATTGTAGTGATGCCAATCTAACCCTAACCTGTCCCTTCTATCAGCAGTGTTGTTAGTAAGATTAGGTGAGATACTATATGTGAAAGTGCTTTTCAAATTTCAGAGCATTGCCCAAAACCAAGGGATTATTGTTACTTATAACCATGACTAAAATCATATCTGAGGAATTCCTCTCTTAAAGCAGAAAAAATGAAGGAGAGAAAACTATATGGGGAAGTGACTTGTGTTTTCAAGGTACATATTTAGAAATTATGATATGCCAAAGGACTGATGTAATACTTAAAAAGATCAAAATGCAAATAGTTAATTTAATCTCTTATTTCCATGCTCTTTACTGTTTGATTGACCTTGACCTGGCTTTGTTTTAAGGATTGTGTACATCAATGGCAGAATCCTCCAGCGATTCAGACCACTTTCGCACTCGTGATCGATTGAGTCGATGGACTGCCAGGTCAACATACAGGGAATCTCTAAGTCGTCCTACGGTAGGCGTCACCAAGAAGATCAACACTATAACAAGTACTCTACAGGTTAGTTAAACTGTGGTTGCTTGTAATAGGTTTTAAGTAGTTTTGAGAAGTAGTTTTGGTCAGCCTATTAGTTTTTTTGCTGCTATAACAAATTACCATAAAACTAATTGTATAATTAAGTATTTATAATTAATTAATAATTAAAATAACAAGGTTTTTTTTTTTATAGTTCTGTACATCAAACCTGACACTGGTCTTATTGGACCCAAATCAGGGTTTAGTAGGGCTACATTCCTTTCTGGAGACACTAGGGGAGTATCTGTTCCTTGCCTTTCCCAGATTTCAGAGACTGCCCACATTTCTTGAGGCTCTCTTCCTTCATCTTCAAAGCTAGCAAGGACAGGTTGAGTCTTTATCACATCACATCACTCTTGAGTACTCTTCTGTTTCCCTCTTCTACTTTTAAGGACACTTGTGATTACCTTGGGTTCACCCAGTAATCCACGACAATCCCCCCCCCCATCTCAAGGTTCTTAACTTAAAATATGTATCAAATCTGCAAAATCCCTTTTGCCGTGTAAGGTTACATATACACAAGTTAAGGATTAGGACTTGGGCATCTTTGGGGGCCATTATTCTGCCTAACACAATCAGTAAAGATATTTGAAATATATGATAGGTTGTGGAAGTGTTTTGGGATAAGGCAACATGTGCAAATAAAATGTGTGGGAGTAAAACGAGTATGAACTACCACAGTTTAGCTTATTGTGGACATGTGCTTTTAGAGAAATTGTTCATATTTTGGCCAGGCAGATTATTCAGGAATGAACAATACTGAGATGCCATTTTTATGCAGAGGCTAACTTTTGACTGTGTTTGGAATTTTGAATGGTGGCAGTTTATATCCTCTCCATAGAAAGGACTTGGGAAATGAGGTGGGGGAAGGGTAACACAACCAAGCTGGGCAAAAGAAAAAGAGTTTTTTTCCCTACCTGTTAATCTCTTATTTTTGCTTGCCTGCATAAGCAAGGATTTTGACTTTTAATTGCTTTGGGTTAGTATGCTTAGATAAGAGGAGGCTAATTTCTGTTGGAGAGGCCATAATTTGACTTAAAACTCAAAGTCTTTATTTTTAAGCTTATGTAAACTAGCATGCCATTGGATTTTTAGAGTACAAATCCTTGTTCTTTCCCACCAAAGAGACACATTAGTAAGTATGTATTTTTGAGAGAAATACCTTCATTAATCTCTCAGTTAAAACCTGGCTCATTTGGGTGGAAACACTTTTTGTTGTGATTAGAACTAAAATTGTTTATAGCTAAAGGTTTAAGGATATTTTTTTTTCTTTTTTCCTAATCAAGTTCTGAGGTGAAGTTATAATTGAAATAACATTGATCCTAATGATTTGCTTCTCTGTACATAGTCTATTAGGTTTATTCTCTCAGGATTCCTTTTCTATAAAAAAGGTGTGAATTAGGTGCACAAATTAATAATGAAGAACCTTATTGTTGCCAACTGATTATGGAAACTTGGATAAGGATTTAAATTGTGTGCTTTAGTCAATTGTAGATGGATTTGGGTTTCTCTCTCAGTTTTGTTTTTTTTTTTTTAATACTTATTTGATTTGTAAAGTATATTAATATCTAACTTAAGTATGATATAAATTGTATCTTTTACAAATGGTTAACTTAGCTATTTGATATACTACAAGGGCTAAGAAAAACACTGGAACAATGAATAAAATCCATTTTCTTTTTTAAGGACACCAGTCGGAACCTGAGACAAGTAGACCAGATGCTTGGACAGTATCGAGAATATAGTAACGGACAGGCGGGTGCTATAGAACACGTGAGGATGTTTACATATGTTTGCCTTTTTTCTTACATATCTTTTTGGAAAGCAGTTGTTGAGAAATAGGGAGGTGAGTTTAAGAATGGAACCATTGTGAACACCTTTAGCTTTTAGATTGCTTTACTATTTTTTAGTAATTAGCTTGTCAAATGGATTGCCAGTTAGCTTATATAGATTAGATTCTGTTGAATTTGAAAGTTTAAAGTCAGAGGAAGAAGAATTTAGGACATTAGTTATACTGAGACTTACTAAATTTGGGCCACTGATACCCCTCCTGGGAGTTAAGAATTTTATGGATGGTTTATTTTAAAGTAATACATGTTCATTGATTATATAAATTTTAAAAACTCTCTTAGCCCTTGAGTTCCACTCCAAGGACATAGCAATTTGACAGTTTCTTGTATATCTTTCCTAGCAGTTTCTATGCATGTATACATATAACTACCATATTAATAATGAGAATTAATTATTTGCTTTTTAATTTATTAGTGAAAACTTAAGCAGCATTAACTAATATCAGGCACAAATTTACTTTCTCATGCTCAATATTAGATGCTTAATTGTGGCAGCAGATTTCCTTTGAATGGAGGAATTGGGAAATTATGTATTAGGTAAACTTCTGTATAGATAAACATTTAAAACGCAAAATGTAATCTGTGGCATTCAGCCTCTGTGGTATGCCTAAAGTCAAAACCACTCTTGGGATGTGGTTTTATATATGGAAAGTAAATAAAATCAACAGGTGTTTTATTTCCTTCTGAGTTAAAAGTACATAGAATACAAAGCTATTCATTAAAAATAAGACACAGGAAGCAAGAGTCTTTTCTTTAGCTTTAGGTCTATTCCTTAGTCTGGTCTACAGTCTATTCCTCGTTTCCCCAAATTCTTGTTCTTTTAAAACAGTTGATTCTCAATGATTTTTCCCTGCAGCATACTAGAAGGGTATGTCATTCATTGCCTTATGTAATACTTACTCATTAGAACAATGATTTTTACCCTGCCACCTGTAAATTACCTGGGGTGATATCTGCCATAATCTATGGGATTACGTATAAATTGGAAAGAATATTTCTCACAAATGATTCTGATGGGCTCTTCAGTGAAAATTGCTTTCTTAACATTAAACTGCTATGGAATTTATCCTACCCAAAAAGGAGGGTTTTTGTTATTTATTTGTTTATTTATTTTTTAAAATCTGTGTATGTTTAGGGAGGGACCCTGGAGAGTGATTTCTTTTTTTGTTTCCTTAATCTTTTGGTGGCTATGCTGTAACTCATACCAGTCTTGCTATAGAACCTGCTGGTTTTTTTTTTTTTTTTTTTTTCTCCTAAACATCCTGAAACAGGTTAATCCAGTTTTTAACCACTGTTCAATGTTAAAAAATTTCTCCATTCTAAATACACATTGCCTTGTTGAAATTAGCATTTCTTTTTTTTTAAATAGAAGAGATTTCCTAGAAAATGAGACCAATTCTTTTGCTGTAGGGAAGACAAAGATTTTTATTAACTAAGATTTTGTAAATGATTCTGTTGCTAAACTTCAGGAAATGGGTAAGTGAGGTGTGTGTGCATACATATACACATTTAGTATCTGTTTTTATTGGGATTTAACTTTGTAAACCTAATTTGCAGTGGGTGAGGGGAAATACAAATATTTGATGTAGCATTTCCCTTTTGGGTTGATCTCCCTCAACAAGAGAACTGGGAGAATTACTCCTGTTGATTTATAAGGCCTCAGGGTCAAGAGTCATGTTGGGTTACTTTTTTGATGACTTCTTGAACTGTACATAATTTCACCTTGTTCCTTTAAATCTTTATGACTGACAATCCTAAATTTCCTTCTTTGCTTTTTTTTTTTTTTTTTTTTTAAAGAGTGAGAAAGAAAGCATTTGAGCTGGGGTGTGGTGTGGCCAGAGAGAGAGGGAGAGAATTTTTTTTTTAAGATTTTTTTTTTTAAGATTTTTTTTTTTTTGATAGAAATCACGAGTAGGCAGAGAGGCAGGCAGAGAAAGGATGGGGGTGGGGAGCAGGCTCCCTGCTGAGCAGAGAGCCCGATGCAGGGGCTCGATCCCAGGACCCTGGGATCATGACCTGAGCCAAAGGCAGAGGCTTAACGCACTGAGCCACCCAGGCACCCCACTTCTTTGCTTATTATATGTGAAGGCCTCTCTCTGAGGAGTTGAGCAGTGTTAAAGCATCAGTGATGCAGTCCATGGGGTCTCATAGAGAAGCAGTACCTCCCTTTCCATAGGCTCTTTGGAAATGTCTCCATATGCTTATTAGTATATCCCAGGCACTTTTATATTAGCCCATTTAGTTCTCTCAACAATCCTATTAGATAGATACTATTATTATCCTCACCTACATGCTGAAAAAATTGGGGCACAGAATGGTTGCTAACTTGCCTATGGTCTCAAGGTTAGTTAGTGACACAGCCATGGGTGGGATGTTACCCTGAAGCTTAGCATCAGGATTCATTTACTTCTCTGAGTCATGGTTGCTCACATTTGTGTGATGTTGTGAGTTCATATTTCTGAAAATTGGGATTTTGGATTCAGAGTTTGAAGGCTTATATACTTTATGTCGACAACCTGGATTTTAGAGATCATATTACCTGATAGAAAAACAGAAGCCCACTGTCACACAAGTCATTAATGTTACAGCTGCTACAATGTCTAGAATGCGTTTTAGATGAAACAAATCCAGAAACACAATGGGGAAGAAATATGGCACTGAGCTAGGATTGGCATTGACAGATTGTCAAAGTTGGTGGTTCTAGCTGCCACTTAGGCGATGTGGAAGGTTCTGCAAGTTGCCTACATCAGCATCAGTTTTCCCCTTCCTTCTAAATAACAGCCATTGATTTTTCACTATCATTTTCTGCAGCTGTTCCAGCCAATGAGCCATATTTAGTTGGATAGTATGTCTTAGGATCTTTGGGTGCAATGAACTTCGACTTTATGGAAGTGTCATCTTGCATTATTTCTCATGCTGCAAATTTCTTGGGAGGTCTGTGAACACTTGGGCAAAAGAGGACTTGTGGGGAAGGTTTTATTTGGAAGCTTACTATGAAGATTTGGAACTTATTGTAGTCCCATATTAAATAGTGCAATATATAAGCTTAGTGCTTAAAGTATTTCTAGAACTGTGTGTTCCTATTCATGAGAGAACAGGGTCTATTTTTTGTTTAATGTTATAAAAATGGAATGCCCTCAAGGAAGAATATTAAAAAAAAAAGAATATTCAACATAAAAAGTTAATACCTCTGCAGTGGAAATTTGGACTGCGGCTGCAGCTACACCAGTTAATATTGGTTTTATGAGAAAAATAGAGTTGTCTTCAATTAAATCAGCAGACTGGTTAAGTTCATTTTTAAGGTAAAGATTGATGAGAATATAGTAATATCAAATTAGAACTTAGAGACTTGCATTAATAGGTAATTTTTCTTCTAATTAAGTACTCTGATTAAAATTTCCCTTTGGGAGTGATAGGATCTTGCCGTCTGGCATATGGACTTCGAAAGAATTTGAATGTTAAATAATAAAGTGCAGGTTTTTTCTTATATTCAGTGGGTTTCAGTTCTCAGATATAATTAGTGATATCCCAGAAGGATGATGGTAGTGGTTTAGGGCCAGGCACAAACCACTTGTAATATCTCAAAGTGGAAAGTACCTGCCCCTTTTTTTCTGGCTGAATTTTACCAATTATCCTGAGGGTGAGAAGAGTTCAGTTTAATGTTAAGTAGTAAGAATCTATTAAGAAATTATAATCAAGCAGTTAAATCCTGCAGCGACTTTCTTTTTGTAAATATATTTTGATCTTAGGAGTTAGGTTCTTAGAGTCTTATATTTAAAGTTATATTACCAAGTCCTTCATGAAATTGCTGGACAGGAGAGTAATTTTTATAGAACTTTGCTTTGAGGCTAGTGGAAAAATGTGGACTCTGGAGTCAGATTTGAAATTTAATCCTGATTTTTTCTACTAGAACACTTTAGTGATTTTGGACAAGGTATTAAACTTTTCTAAACTTGAGTTCCGTCATTTGAAAAATGAACATAGTCCTGTATCCCTCATTATAACTAACATTTATTAAGGTGGTCACACTGTTTAGACACTTCCTAAACATTCATGTCTTTGTTGTTTCTTTAATTCATTCAGTAATCCCTACCTTTAAGCCTTTGCTATGTTCTTAATGTAGTACTTGGTATATTCTAGCCACTCAAAACAGGTGGGCCTAAACCCAGTTTCATTTGTGTGTCATTGTGACAATAAACAACATAGCGTGTTGCAGCACTCACAGGGATAAGCATGTCTGATTATTTTGACTTCAAAGTATATGCTAAGTTAGACAACACAGATAATAATGCTTTTTGTCTGTCTTCTGTTCATGAGTATGATGAAGTTCTTTATTAAGAACACATTCCAGTGTCATGAGTGCTCATTTACTGATACTTAAATTATTACTTACAAATATTTTAAGAATACTTTCAAAATTATGATTAGAATGTGTGTGATATATGGGCTTTGAATATATAGGATTTCATTTTAAAAACAAAATAGTTACGTAAATAAAAATGTATCATTTGAAAGGGAATTTCTCCATTTTGGGAATACTATTATGGGCTTATATTTCCATAAATCAGCATATGGAGAGAGGTTAGGCAAAGCAGCTGGAGCTAATAATCTTTTGGTAAATAAAAAATAAAATAGTAGCAGCCATTTCAAAAATACATTTCAGTAACAGATGGTGGTACCAGAAAAATGTGCAAACCATAAATTTTCACTCTTATTTAATTTTTTAAGACTCCTTCTCCTCCTCTTCCTTGCTTTTAATGGTAGAACACAAATAGACTGAAAGGAACCAAAATAGAGCTGATACAATTAACTGCTCTATAAGCAAAGTATTTTGCAGTCTGTTGTCAGATAAACTTTGGCATCTGTAAAGAAATAGGCAGTGAAGGAAGCCAGGCATAAAAGCACTTAATCAAAGTGCCTGTG